CTCCATCCATCCATCCATCCATCCATCCATCCATCCATCCATCCATCCATCTTTCCATCCATCTTTCCATCCATCCATCCATCCATCCATCCATCCATCCATCCATCCATCCATCCATCCATCCACCCACCCACCCACCCACCCACCCATCCATCCATCCCTCCCTCCATCCATCCCTCCCTCCATCGATCCCTCCCTCCCTGCAGCAACCCCTGTTCCCGCTGTCCCAGCTGGTACCCGGGCACCGTCCCCCGGGGTGCTGGGGGTGCCCGGTGAGGGGGGGCCCCGCGCGGGTCCCGGTGCCGGTGTCGGTGCCACGGGAGCGGCGCCGGGGGCGGTTGGGGCCGCGGCCGGAGCCTAAAAATAGCCCCGGGAGCAGGAGGAGGAAAGGGAATTGCGCCGGGAATGCGGCGGCCGCGGCTTCCTGTGACCCTCCCGGCGGCGGCCCCTCCGCGGGCCCCCGTGGTGCCCTGTGGCTCCGGTACACGGAGCGGGCAGCCCTGTGGCACCGGTGGGGATGGTCCCCCCCCCTCTGTGGCAGAGACCCCGAGGACAGCACCCGTGTGGGTCCCCGGCACCCCCCATCTGCCACCCCCCCCCCCCAATACCAACCCATGGGCTGGGGGTCCCTATAGCCCCTCCCCCAGTTACACATAGGGACCCCCCTGTGCTTGTCCCCCCATTGGGGTTCCTTCTATGGGACCCTCTTGTCCCCCCAGTTTGGGATTCCCCCTGTTGACCCTGTGCTGGGGCTCGCCATGCACCCCCCCATTGGGGCTCTGCCTATGGAGACACATGTCCCCCCCAATTTGGGGGTCTCCATACGGGCCCCATCACCCCCCAGTTTGAGGTCCTGCTATGGGCCCCCCCCTTGTCTCCCCTGATTTGGGGGCCGTGTATTAACCCTGTGTTGGGGTTCTCTATGTTCCCCTTGTCACCCCTCCTTGCTGTTTCTGCTATGGGGACTCTGCCCACCTAATCTGGGGGTCCCAGTGTGCCCCCCATCACCCTCCAACTGGCTGCTATGGGGACCCTGATGGTGCTCTACGACTTGAGGATCTCTGTGTGTCCCCCCAATCCCACCAGTTGTGGGGGTCCCATACGGAACCCCCCAACACCAGTTTGGGATCCCCCATGTTGCCCCCCGGCCTCCATTGACTTGGGCATCCCCAGATCCCACTGGGGTGTTCCCTTATGGGCCTCCAAGATCCCCCTGGCTGGGTATTGGGGGGGGGGAGCAGAAATGGGGGGCTCTGCACTGTGGGGAGCAGGGGATATGTGGGGTGACAGGAAGGGACCTGGTACCATGGGGTGACATGAGGGGACCCGGCACTATGGGGAGCAGGGGACATGAAGGGGCTCAGCACTGTGGGGTGAAATGAGGGGACCTGTCCCTGTGGGGTGGCACTGGGGGAAGGCCTGGCACCATGGGGATGGATGGCACTGGGGGACATGTCCCTGTGGGGTGGCACTGGGGGAGGCCTGGTGCCATGGGGATGGATGGCACTGGGGGACCTGGCACTGTGGGGTGGCACTGGGGGGAGGCCTGGCGCCATGGGGATGGATGGCACTAGGGGACCCGGCACTGGGGGGAGGCCTGGTGCCATGGGGATGGATGGCACCGGGGGACCTGTCCCTGGGGGGAGGCCTGGTGCCATGGGGATGGATGGCACTGGGGGACCTGTCCCTGTGGGGTGGCACTGGGGGAGGCCTGGTGCCATGGGGATGGATGGCACTGGGGGACCTGTCCCTGTGGGGTGGCACTGGGGGAAGGCCTGGCACCATGGGGATGGATGGCACTGGGGGACTTGGCACTGTGGGGTGGCACTGGGGGAGGCCTGGTGCCATGGGGATGGATGGCACTGGGGGACCCGGCACTGTGGGGAGTGAGTGGCATGAAGGGATCTGGCTTCCATTGGGACAGGAGTTGCTTCCTGCTGCTCCAGGCTCTGGACATGGGGGTCAATGGTGGGGGCAACTTGGGGGTCACTCTGGGCCCCCAGCACCCATCCGGGACCCCAAGCATCCACCCCAGAGCCATTTTCCCATGGGATCCGCACTGAGACCCGGCAGCCCATAGGGAATGTGGCCCTGGAGCCCGTTGCGATGCTCATGGGGGCCCTATGGGTGAGGGGATCCAGCCCGATGGGTGCCCCCCATGGTTGTGGGGTGCAGACGGGAGGAACCCCCCATCACCCCACTGATGCCCCCGTTGCCGGCAGGTTCCAGAAGCACGTGCACACGTACCGCATCCTGCCCGATGAGGAGGACTTCCTGGCCGTGCAGGTGGGGGTCACCCCCGGCCGGGACACGGGACCCCCCCGGGGGCTGGCAATGGGACACGGGGGTGCAGCGCCCCTTACACCCCGGGTGCCGGGCGGGGGTTCAGTGCTGAGGGTGCTGCCGGTGCCGGTGTTGGTGCCGGTGCCGGTGCTGGAGCCGGTGCCGGTGCTGGCGGCGGCCTCTCCTCGGCCGCGTCGCTCCCGGCCCGCGGCGCCGCCGGGTGTTTATGGAGGAACAAAACGCGCTTTGTGCCGGAGGGAGCCGGAAGGAGCCGCTTCCAGGAGGGGGAGGCTCCGGGACCGTGCCTGTGCCCTGCCTGCACCCAGCTCCTTGCCTGCACCCAGCGCCCTGCCTGCACCCAGCTCCTTGCCTGCACCCAGCACCCTGCCTGCACCCAGCGCCCTGCCTGCACCCAGCACCCTGCCTGCACCCAGCTCCTTGCCTGCACACAGCACCCTGCCTGCCCCCAGCGCCCTGCCTGCACACAGCACCCTGCCTGGACCCATCACACTGCCTGTACCCAGGGCCCTACCTGCACCCAGCTCCTTGCCTGCGCCCAGCTCCTTGCCTGCACCCAGCTCCCTGCCTGTACCCAGCGCCCTGCCTGCACCCTGTGCCCTTCCTGCACCCAGCACCCTGCCTGTGCCCGCTGCCTGTGCCCTGCACCCTGCCAGCACCCAGCAGAAGCTGCAGCCCCCCACCGGGCTCAGCACCATGGGGCAGGCCCTCATCCTACATGGGGGGATGCCCCTGGATGGGACCTTACAAGGGCCCTGCATGTCTCCAGGGGTGCCCCCCTCCTGGGGGGGGCTCCTTGTCCATGGGGGTGCCGTTCACACCCCCGTGTCCCGCAGACGTCCCAGGGGGTGCCGGTGCGGCGGTTCCAGACGCTGGGCGAGCTGATCGCGCTGTACCTGCAGCCCAACCAGGGGCTCGTCTGCGCCCTGCTCTTCCCCGTCGAGCGCGACAAGGACCGCGACGCCGCCGAGGACCGGGACTACTCGGGTACGGGGTTGGGGGGGGGGCCCTGGGGACCCCATAGCCCCCTGGGGACCCCATAGGCCCTTGGGACCCCCATAGCCCCACGGGGCTCTCCCTGACCCCCCCGCCCCACTGCAGATGGGGACGATGAGAAACCCCCGCTGCCACCGCGCTGCGGCTCCAGCAGCGGCTGCAGCACCGCGGGGGGGCTCAGCCCGGCCGGCCCCGCAGCGGCCGTGCCCGATGGGGCAGCCGAGAGGTGAGGGCAGCAACACCGTGTCCGGTCTGCCCCCACTGCCCCCCCCGATCCCTGCCCATCTCCTGCCCATCCCTGCTCATTCCTGCCCCATCTCATTCCCATCCCATCCCATCCCTGGCCCCTCCCATCCCTGCCCCATCCCATCCCTGCCCCATCCCATCCCCACCCCCTCCCATCCCATCCCCACCCCCTCCCTGCCCCATCCCTGCTCCATCCCTGCCCCCTCCCATCCCTGCCCCATCCCATCCCTACCCCATCCCTGCCCCATCCCCACCCCATCCCCGCCCCATCCCTAACCCATCCCCGCCCCATCCCATCCCCATCCCACCCCATCCCATCCCCACCCCATCCCCACCCCAACCCTGCCCCATTCCCACCCCATCCCATCCCTACCCCATCCCATCCCTGCCCCATCCCATCCCATCCCTGCCCCATCCCATCCCCGCCCCACCCCATCCCACCCCATCCCATCCCCATCCCATCCCTAACCCATCCCTGCCCCATCCCATCCCCAACTCATCCCCATCCCATCCCCACACCATCCCCGCCCCATCCCATCCCCATCCCATCCCCATCCCATCCCCACCCCATCCCTGCCCCATCCTATCCCCATCCCATCTCGATTCTAACCCCATCCCATCTCCATCCCATCCCCATCCCATCCCCACCCCACCCCATCCCTGCCCCATCCTAACCTCATCCCGTCCCTACCCCATCCTATCCCCATCCCATCCCATCCCCACCCCATCCCTGCCCCATCCCATCCCCCCACCCCATCCCCATCCCATCCCCATCCCATCCCCACCCCGACCCCCACCACCCCCATCCCAACCCCCCCCTTCCCACCCCATCCCCCCCATCCCCACCCCATCCCCATCCCCACCCCATCCCCGCCCCACCCCATCCCCACCCCACCCCACCCCACCCCATCGCTGCCCTCCCACGCTCTCCCTCCCTCCCTGCCGCAGCCCCAACGGTCCCTGCGCGCTGCCCCACGAGTACCTGCGGAGCGCTCAGTACTCGCTGGACCTGGCGGGGGTGCAGGGGGGGGCCACGGCCCTGCCGCACCTGAGCCGGGCGCTGGGCGCCTCCTGCCGGCGGCTGCACAGGTGGGTGCGGGCCGGGGGGGTCGGGGGGGTCCGGAGGCGCTGCCCCCGCTGATCCCCCCCCCCCCCCCCCGCAGTGAGGTGGACAAGGTCCTGGCCGGGCTGGAGACCCTGGCCAAGGTGTTCGACCCCCAGAGCGCCCCCAGCGTGGGCAGGGCCCTGCAGCAGGTGAGGGGGGGGTCAATGGGGGCGTCGATGGGGGCGTCAATGGGGGTGTCAGTGGGGGTGTCAATGGGGGCATCAGTGGGGGTGTCAGTGGGGGTGTCAATGGGGGTGTCAATGGGGTGTCAGTGGGGGTGTCAAGGGGGGTGTCAATGGGGTGTCAATGGGGTGTGGGGGGGTGTCAATGGGGGCGTCAATGGGGTGTCAATGGGGGCGTCAATGGGGGTGTCAAGGGGGGCGTCAATGGGGGCGTCAATGCGGTGTCAATGGGGGTGTCAGTGGGAGCATCAATGGGGGTGTCAGTGGGGGCGTCAATGGGGGTGTCAGTGGGGGGTGGTCAGTGGGGGCATCAATGGGGGGTCAGTGGGGGCATCAATGGGGGTGTCAGTGGGGAAATCAATGGACGCATCAGTGTGGGCATCAATGGGGGCGTCAGTGGGGGCGTCAATGGGGGTGTCAGTGGGGGCGTCAATGGAGAAATCAATGGGGGCATCAGTGGGGGTGTCAGTGGGGGCATCAATGGGGGTGTCAGTGGGGGCGTCAATGGAGAAATCAATGGGGGCATCAACGGGGGTGTCAGTGGGGGCGTCAATGGGGGTGTCAGTGGGGGCGTCAATGGAGAAATCAATGGGGGCGTCAATGGGGGTGTCAGTGGGGGCATCAATGGAGAAATCAATGGGGGCATCAGTGGGGGTGTCAATGGGGGCGTCAGTGGGGGTTTGGGGGGGCATCAATGGAGAAATCAATGGAGGCATCAGTGTGGGCATCAATGGGGGTGTCAGTGGGGGCATCAATGGGGTGTCAATGGGGGCTTCAATGAGGGCATCAGTGTGGGCATCAATGGGGGTGTCAGTGGGGGCGTTAATGGGGTGTCAATGGGGGCTTCAATGAGGGCATCAGTGCGGGCATCAATGGGGGTGTCAGTGGGGGTGGGGGGGGCATCAATGGAGAAGTCAGTGGGGACATCAGTGCAGGCATCAATGGGGGTGTCAGTGGGGGCGTCAATGTGGGTGTCAGTGGGGGTGTGGGGGGGCATCAATGGAAAAGTCAGTGGGGGCATCAGTGCAGGCGTCAATGGGGGTGTCAGTGGGGGCGTCAATGGGGGTATCAATGGGGGCGTGGGGCGGGCATCAATGGAGAAATCAATGGGGGCATCCATGGGGGTGTCACTGGCGTGTCAATGGGGGCATCAGTGCGGGCATCAATAGGGGTGTCAGTGGGGGCGTCAATGGGGTGTCAATGGGGGTGTGGGGGGGCATCAATGGAGAAATCAATGGGGGCATCAGTGCGGGCATCAATGGGGGTGTCAATGGGGGCATGGGGGGGGCATTGATGGGGGTGTCAGTGGGGGCATTGGGGCATCAATGGGGGCATGGGGGGGCATCAATGGAGAAGTCAATGGCCTCAATGGGGGCTTCAATGAGGGCATCAATGGGGGCTTCAATAGGGGCATCAATGAGGAAGTCAATGGGGGCATCAATGGGGGTGTCAATGGGGGGGCATCAGTGGAGAAATCAATGGGGGCATCAGTGCAGGCATCAATGGGGGTGCCAGTGGGGGCATGGGGGGGCATCAATGGGGGTGTCAATGCGGGGGCATCAGTGGGAAGTCAATGGGGGCATCAGTGCAGGCATCAATGGGGGTGTCAGTGGGGGCATGGGGGGGCATCAATGGGGGTGTCAATGCGGGCATCAGTGGGGGCATCAATGGGGGTGTCAATGGGGGCTTCAATGAGGGCATCAATGGGGGCTTCAGTGGGGGCATCAATGAGGAAGTCAATGGGGGCTTCAATGGAGAAGTCAATGGGGGAGTCAATGGGGTGTCAATGGGGGTGTCAATGGGAGAGTCAATGGGGGCTTCAGTGAGGGCATCAATGAGGAAGTCAATGGGGGCTTCAATGGAGAAGTCAATGGGGGAGTCAATGGGGTGTCAATGGGGGTGTCAATGGGGGCTTCAGTGTCAATGGGGGCATCAATGAGGAAGTCAATGGGGGCTTCAATGGAGAAGTCAATGGGGGAGTCAATGGGGTGTCAATGAGGGTGTCAATGGGAGAGTCAATGGGGGCTTCAGTGAGGGCATCAATGAGGAAGTCAATGGGGGCTTCAATGGAGAAGTCAATGGGGGAGTCAATGGGGTGTCAATGGGGGTGTCAATGGGGGCTTCAGTGAGGGCATCAATGAGGAAGTCAATGGGGGCTTCAATGGAGAAGTCAATGGGGGAGTCAATGGGGGTGTCAATGGGAGAGTCAATGGGGGCTTCAGTGAGGGCATCAATGGGGGCATCAATGGAGGCACCAATGGGAGTGTCAATGGGGGCATGAATGGGGGCATGGGGGGGCATCAATGGAGAAGTCAATGGGGGCATCAGTGGGGGCTTCAATGGAGGCATCAATGGAGGCACCAATGGGAGTGTCAATGGGGGCATGAATGGGGGCATGGGGGGGCATCAATGGAGAAGTCAATGGGGGCATCAGTGGGGGCTTCAATGGGGGCTTCAATGAGGGTGTCAATTGGGGTGTCAGTGGGGGCATCAATGGGGGTATCAATGGGACACCCCGGGGGGCCACGTGGCCGTGGAGGAGGCCATGGGATGTGGTGGGAACACACCGGGAATGCACTGGGAACACAATGGGAATGTGCTGGGGATGTGGTGGGATAATGGTGGGAATTCAGTGGGAGGACACTGGGAATGCACTGGGAACACGGTGGGAATGTGGTGGAAATCCACTGGGAGCACACTGGTAATGGGGTGGGATCACACTGGGAATATGCTGGGGATGTGGTGGGAGCATGGTGGGAACGCACTGGACATGTAGTGGAAACATGGCGGGAATGCCCTGAAAGCCATAATGGGAATGGGCTGGGGACATGGTGGGAATGTGATGGGAACATGGTAGGAATGTGGTGGGAAATTCAGTGGGAGCACACTGAGAACGTGCTGGGGACATGGTGGGAACACACTGGGAACGTGGTGGGAATGTGGTGGGAACGTGGTGGGAACACACTGGGAACGTGGTGGGGACGTGGTGGGAACACACTGGGAATGTGGTGGGAACACACTGGGAACGTGGTGGGAATGTGGTGGGAACACACTGGGAACGTGGTGGGAATGTGGTGGGAACACACTGGGAACGTGGTGGGAACGTGGTGGGAACACACTGGGAATGTGCTGGGAACATGGTGGGAACACACTGGGAACGTGCTGGGAATGTGGTGGGAACACACTGGGAACGTGCTGGGAATGTGGTGGGACTGGTGAGAACGTTCTGGGAATGTGGGGGGAACGTGGTGGGAACACACTGGGAATGTGGTGGGACTGGTGAGAACGTTCTGGGAATGCGGGGGGAACATGATGGAAATTTGCTGGGAGCATACTGGGAATGTGGTGGGGGTCCCACCATCCACTATGGGTGGTGGGAAAGCCATGGAGAAACATCCATCCATGGGGGTGGTCCTGATGCTCTGAGGGACCTGGGGTGGATGTGGGGGGCTGGGGGTGGATGTGGGGGTCCGGAGTGGCCCTTGGGGTCCCATCCCGCTGTGGCCCGGTTGCAGCCCATGGGGCAGGGAGGGGAGCAGGAGCTGGAGACGCTGGTGCTGAAGCTGTCGGTGCTGAAGGATTTTCTCTCCAGCATCGAGAAGAAGGTGAATGGGGGGTCCCAGCATGGGGGGAGATGGGTTGGGTCCTGGACCAGGTATGGCAGCAGCTGGGGCTGCAATGGGGGTGGTCCCATGGTGAACGTTGGTGGATGTGATGATGGGTTGGCCATGGACCCCATGAGGATGGGTTGGTGGGACACGATTGACCCCATGAGGATGGGTTGGTGGATGCGGTGCTCGGTGCTGGGTTGGCCATGGACCCCACAGGTGATGGGTTGATGGATGCGGTGATGGGTTGACCGTAGACCCCATGGTGATGGGTTGGCCATGGACCCCATGGGTGATGGGTTGATGGATGCAGTGATGGGTTGACCATAGACCCCATGGTGATGGGTTGGCCATGGACCCCATGGGTGATGGGTTGATGGATGCGGTGATGGGTTGACCATAGACCCCATGGTGATGGGTTGGTGGATGTGGTGATGGGTTGACCATAGACCCCATGGTGATGGGTTGATGGATGCGGTGATGGGTTGATCGTAGACCCCATGGTGATGGGTTGGCCATGGACCCCATGGGTGATGGGTTGATGGATGCGGTGATGAGTTGACCGTAGACCCCATGGTGATGGGTTGGCCATGGACCCCACAGGTGATGGGTTGATGTTTGCGGTGATGGGTTGACCATAGACCCCATGGTGATGGGTTGGCCATGGACCCCATGGGTGATGGGTTGATGGATGCGGTGATGGGTTGACCATAGACCCCATGGTGATGGGTTGTGGACGCGGTGCTCAGTGCTGGATTGACCATGGTGTGATGGTGATGATGATGATGGATTGACCATGGTGTGATGGTGATGATGATGATGGATTGACCATGGTGTGATGACGATGATGATGATTAATGAAGATGATGATGTGAAGATTATGTGATGATGTTGATGATGATGATGATGTGATGATGGTGTGATGATGATTAATGTTGATGATGATGATGGTGTGATGATGATGATGCTGCTGATGGTGATGGCTGCTGCTGATGATGACAGTGGTGGTGATGGTGGGGGCTCCCCCAGGCGCTGAAGGCTCTGCAGGAGATGAGCTCGGCCGCCCCCAGCACCCCCCCGCAGCCCCTGTCCCGCAAGGCCAAGAGCATCCCGGTGCAGACCTTCGAGGTGAGCCCCATCCATCCCCACCGCGGCTCGGGACCTGGCCTGGGGTCAGCAGCGGCTGGAGCCATCCAGCGCGGCACGGAGGGCGCGAAGCCTTTGGGGCGGGCTCCCCCCCGCCGCAGCACCCGCTGTCCCCATAGGTGAAGCTGGACGTCACCCTGGGGGACCTGACCAAGATCGGGAAGTCCCAGAAGTACACGTTGAGCGTGGACGTGGAGGGGGGGAAGCTGGTGGTGCTCAAGAAGCAGAAGGACACGCAGGAGGACTGGAACACCTTCACCCACGACAAGAGTGAGGGGGGGCCCTTTGGTGCTGGGACGGCCTGGGGGGGGTCCTGGTGTCCCCGTGGGCTCATCCCGGCTGCCGCCGCGCTCCCAGTCCGGCAGCTGATCAAATCCCAGCGCGTGCAGAACAAACTGGGCATCGTCTTCGAGAAGGAGAAGGACAAAACGCAGCGGAAGGACTTCGTGTTCGCCAGCGCCAGGGTGGGTCCCACCGGAGATGGGGGGTCCATTGGAGATGGGGGTCCCATTGGAGATGGGGGTCCCACTGGAGATGGGGGTCCCACTGGAGATGGGGGTCCATTGGAGATGGGGGTCCCATTGGAGATGGGGGTCCCACTGGAGATGGGGGTCCATTGGAGATGGGGGTCCATTGGAGATGGGGGTCCCACTGGAGATTGGAGATGGGGGTCCCACTGGAGATGGGGGTCCATTGGAGATGGGGGTCCCACTGGAGATGGGGGTCCCATTGGAGATGGGGGTCCCACTGGAGATGGGGTCCATTGGAGATGGGGGTCCCATTGGAGATGGGGGTCCATTGGAGATGGGGGTCCCACTGGAGATGGGGGTCCCATTGGAGATGGGGGTCCATTGGAGATGGGGGTCCCACTGGAGATGGGGGTCCCATTGGAGATGGGGGTCCATTGGAGATGGGGGTCCCACTGGAGATGGGGGTCCATTGGAGATGTGGGTTCCCATTGGAGATGTGGGTTCCCATTAGAGATGTGGGTCCCACTGGAGATATGGGTCCATTGGAGATGTGGTTCCCCATTGGAGATGTGGGTTCCCATTGGAGATGTGGGGTCCCCACTGGAGATGTGGGTTCTCGTTGGAGATGTGGGGTCCCATTGGAGATGTGGGTTCCCATTGGAGATGTGTGTTCCCATTGGAGATGTGGGTTCCCATTGGAGATGGGGGGTCCATTGGAGATGTGGGGTCCCATTGGAGATGGGGGGTCCCACTGGAGATGTGTGTTCCCATTGGAGATGTGGGGTCCCATTGGAGATGTGGTTCCCCATTGGAGATGTGGGTTCCCATTGGAGATGTGGGTTCCCATTGGAGATGTGGGGTCCCACTGGAGATGTGGGTCCTGCTCGGAGATGGACGATCCCCTTTGGAGTCAGTGGTGCCCATTGGAGACAGGGGGGTCCCACTGGGGGTGGGAGGGGCAGGATTTAGCCCCTGGCTCCCCATGGGGCTGGGTGCTGGTGCTGGTGCTGAGGGCTGTGCTCCCGTGCTCCCTGCCTGGCCCATGGGGTGCTGGGTTGGGGGGTGCTGGGGGGCCCCCCACTGAGCCCCCTCGTGCCCCACAGAAGCGAGAGGCCTTCTGCCAGCTCCTGCAGCTGATGAAGAACCGCCATTCCCACCAGGATGAGCCCGACATGATCTCCATCTTCATCGGCACCTGGAACATGGGTGAGTGGGAACACACCGGGAATGGGGTGGGAATGGGGGGGGAACACACTGGGAACGTGGGGGGAACACACTGGGAATGTGGAGGGAACACACTGGGAACATGGGGGGAACACACTGGGAATGTGATTGGAATGTGGGGGGAACACACTGGGAATGTGGAGGGAACACACTGGGAATGCTCTTGGAACGTGGGAATGCACTGGGAATGTGATTGGAATGTGGTGGGAACACATTGGGAATGTGGAGGGAACACACTGGGAATGCTCTTGGAACGTGGGAATGCACTGGGAATGTGATTGGAATGTGGTGGGAACACATTGGGAATGTGGAGGGAACACACTGGGAATGCTCTTGGAATATGGTGGGAATGCACTGGGAACGTGGTGGGACCCTGCTGGGAATGTGGTGGGGGCATGGGAATGTACTGGGAATGCACTGGGAATGTGGCAGGAACATGGTGGGAATGTGGGAATGCACCGGGGATGTGGTGGGAACATGGGAATGTGCTGGGAATGTGGCAGGAACATGGTGGGATCATTGGAATGCACTGGGAATGTGATGGGAACATGGGAATGTGCTGGGAATGCGCTAGGAACATGGGAATGCACTGGGAATGTGGCAGGAACATGGTGGGAATGTGGTGGGAACATGGGAATGCACTAGGAATGTGATGGGAATGCAGTGGGAATGGGGTGGGAACACACTGGGAATGAACTGGGAATGCACTGGGAATGGGGTGGGAACATGGGAATGCATTGGGAATGCAGTGGGAACGTGGTGGGAACATGGGAATGCACTGGGAATGCGCTGGGAACATGGGAATGCACTGGGAATGTGGCAGGAACATGGTGGGAATGTGGTGGGAACATGGGAATGCACTGGGAATGTGATGGGAATGCAGTGGGAATGGGGTGGGAACACACTGGGAATGTGCTGGGAATGGGGTGGAAACACACTGGGAATGCATTGGGAATGGGGTGGGAGCATGGGAACACACTGGGAATGCATTGGGAATGGGGTGGGAACATGGGAACACACTGGGAATGCACTGGGAATGGGGTGGGAACATGGGAACACACTGGGAATGCACTGGGAATGGGGTGGGAGCATGGGAACACACTGGGAATGCAGTGGGAATGCGATGGGAACATTGGAATGCAGTGGGAATGTGATGGGAATGCATTGGGAATGGGGTGGGAGCATGGGAACACACTGGGAATGCAGTGGGAATGCGATGGGAACATTGGAATGCAGTGGGAATGTGATGGGAATGCATTGGGAATGGGGTGGGAACATGGGAACACACTGGGAATGCAGTGGGAATGGGGTGGGAACATGGGAACACACTGGGAATGCACTGGGAATGGGGTGGGAACACACTGGGAATGCATTGGGAATGGGGTGGGAACATGGGAACACACTGGGAATGCAGTGGGAACATTGGGATGCAGTGGGAATGGGGTGGGAACATGGGAACACACTGGGAATGCAGTGGGAATGGGGTGGGAACATGGGAACACACTGGGAATGCAGTGGGAATGGGGTGGGAGCATGGGAACACACTGGGAACACACTGGGAATGCGCTGGGAACATTGGAATGCAGTGGGAATGCACTGGGAATGGGGTGGGAACATGGGAACACACTGGGAATGCAGTGGGAATGGGGTGGGAACACACTGGGAATGGGGTGGGAACATGGGAACACACTGGGAATGGGGTGGGAACATGGGAACACACTGGGAACGCACTGGGAATGGGGTGGGAACACACTGGGAACGCACTGGGAATGGGGTGGGAGCATGGGAACACACTGGGAACGCACTGGGAATGCACTGGGAACATTGGAATGCAGTGGGAATGCAGTGGGAATGGGGTGGGAACATGGGAACACACTGGGAACGCACTGGGAATGCACTGGGAATGGGGTGGGAACACACTGGGAATGCACTGGGAATGGGGTGGGAACATGGGAACACACTGGGAATGGGGTGGGAACATGGGAACACACTGGGAATGCACTGGGAATGGGGTGGGAACATGGGAACACACTGGGAATGCAGTGGGAATGGGGTGGGAACACACTGGGAATGGGGTGGGAACATGGGAACACACTGGGAACGCACTGGGAATGGGGTGGGAACACACTGGGAACACACTGGGAATGGGGTGGGAACATTGGAATGCACTGGGAATGGGGTGGGAACATGGGAACACACTGGGAATGCGCTGGGAACATTGGAATGCAGTGGGAACGTGGCAGGCGCACGGTGGGAACGCGCTGGGAGCGTGGGGTTGGAGGGGTCCCACGAGCTCCCGGAGCACCTTCGGGTGCATCCCCCCAACGAGCGCCCCCCTCCCGCAGGCAGCGTCCCCCCCCCCAAGAGCATCGCCTCGTGGGTGACGTCCAAGGGGCTGGGCAAGACCCTGGAGGAGGTGTCGGTGGCCCTGGCCCACGACATCTACGTGCTGGGCACGCAGGAGAACTCCCTGGGCGACAAGGAGTGGGTGGACTTCCTGCGCGCCGCGCTCAAGGACTGCACCGACCTCGAGTACCGGCCGGTGCGAGGGGGGGGACGGAGCCCCGGGGCTCAGCGGGTGCCGGGGGGGGTCGCTGGAGTCATCGTGGGGCTGGGGGGTGCTGGTGGTGACCGGGATGCCGGGGGGTCTAAGGGTGGGTGGGGGTCGCAGGGGTGTCAGTCCCATCACTGGGTGCTTTGGGGTGGCCGAGGGGTGCCCCAGGGACCAGCCCGTGGGGGGTGAAGGTGGCTGCAAGGAGCTGCCCACGGTGGGGTGGTGGTGGCGGTGGTGGCACCAGGGGGTGTTGGTGATGGTGACACTGGATGGTGTCGGTGGTGGTGACACTGGCGGGTGTTGGTGACACTGGAAGGTGTTGGTGATGGTGACACTGGCGGGTGTTGGTGGCACTGGAAGGTGTTGGTGATGGTGGCACGGGGGATGTTGGTGATGGTGACACTGGATGGTGTTGGTGACACTGGAAGGTGGTGGTGGTGGTGGCACTGGGGGATGTTGGTGATGGTGACACCAGGGGGTGTTGGCGATGGTGACACCGGGGAGGTGTTGGTGATGGTGACACTGGAGGTGTTGGTGATGGTGACACCCAGGGGATGTTGGTGATGGAGGCACCGGGGGTGTTGGCAATGGTGACACCAGGGGGTGTTGGTCATGGAGGCACCGGAGGGTGTTGGTGACGATGACACCGGGGGTGTTGGTGATGGTGACACTGGGGGGTGTTGGTGATGGTGACACCGGGGGATGTTGGTGATGGTGACACCGGGGGGTGTTGGCGATGGTGACACCAGGGGGTGTTGGTGATGGAGGCACTGGAGGGTGTTGGAGGGTGTTGGTGACGATGACACCGGGGGTGTTGGTGATGGTGACACCGGGGGGGGTGTTGGCGATGGTGACACCGGGGGGGTGTTGGTGATGGTGACACTGGGGGGGTGTTGGCGATGGTGACACCGGGGGGGTGTTGGCGATGGTGACACCGGGGGGTGTTGGTGATGGTGACACTGGGGGTGTTGGTGATGGTGACACCGGGGGGGTGTTGGTGATGGTGACACCAGGGGGTGTTGGTGATGGTGACACCCAGGGGATGTTGGTGATGGAGGCACTGGGGGTGTTGGTGATGGTGACACCAGGGGTGTTGGTGATGGTGACACCAGGGGGTGTTGGTGATGGAGGCACCGGAGGGTGTTGGTGACGATGACACCGGGGGATGTTGATGATGGTGCCACCGGGGGGGTGTTGGTGATGGTGACACCGGGGGATGTTGGTGATGGTGACACCCAGGGGGTGTTGGCGATGGTGACACCGGGGGGGTGTTGGCGATGGTGACGCCGGGGGGTGTTGGTGATGGTGATACTGGGGGGTGTTGGTGATGGTGACACCGGGGGGTGTTGGTGATGGTGACGCCGGGGTTGCCGCAGGTGGCGGTGCAGGCGCTGTGGAGCATCAAGGTGGTGGTGCTGGTGAAGCCGGAGCACGAGAACCGCATCAGCCACGTCAGCACCTCCAGCGTCAAGACCGGCATCGCCAACACCCTGGGTAGGGGGGTGAATGGGGGCCATGGGGGGGTGAATGGGGGCCATGGGGGGTGAATGGGGGCCATGGGGGGTGAATGGGGGTCATGGGGGGTGAATGGGGGTCATGGGGGGGGTGAATGGGGGCCATGGGGGGGTGAATGGGGCTCATGGGGGGTGAATGGGGGCCATGGGGGTGAATGGGGGTCATGGGGGGTGAATGGGGGTCATGGGGGGGTGGTGAATGGGGGTCATGGGGGGTGAATGGGGGTTATGGGGGGTGAATGGGGGTCATGGGGGGTGAATGGGGGCCATGGGGGGTGAATGGGGGTCATGGGGGGGTGAATGGGGGCCATGGGGGGGTGAATGGGGCTCATGGGGGTGAATGGGGGTCATGGGGGGTGAATGGGGGTCATGGGGAGGTGAATGGGGGTCATGGGGGGCGAATGGGGGTCATGGGGGGGTGAATGGGGGTCATGGGGGGTGAATGGGGGCCATGGGGGGGTGAATGGGGGTCATGGAGGGGGTGAATGGGGGTCATGGAGGGGGTGAATGGGGGTCATGGGGAGGTGAATGGGGGCCATGGGGGGGTGAATGGGGCTCATGGGGGGTGAATGGGGGTCATGGGGGTCCTGCCCCACGGGTGTCGCACAGGTGGGGCTGTGCCTGTGCGCATCACGGGGGGGCCGTGCTCAGGCCCCCCCCCCGTGCCCCCCCAGGGAACAAAGGCGCCGTGGGGGTCTCGTTCATGTTCAACGGCACCTCCCTGGGCTTCGTGAACTGTCACCTGACCTCGGGCAGCGAGAAGACGGCGCGGTGAGACCCACGGAGCACCCAGAGGGCACCCATAGCACCCATAGGGCACCCATAGCACCCATAGCACCCATAGCACCCATAGCGCCCATAGGGCATCCAGAGCACCCATAGCGCCCATAGGGCACCCAGAGCACCCATAGCACCCACAGAGCACCCAGAGAGCACCCATAGCACCCACAGAGCACCCAGAGAGCACCCATAGCACCCACAGAGCACCCAGAGGGCACCCAGAGAGTGCCCATAGGGCACACAGAGAGCACCCAGAGGGCACCCAGAGAGCACCCATAGCACCCACAGAGCACCCATAGGGCATCCAGAGAGCACCCATAGGGCACACAGACAGTACCCAGAGGGCACCCAGAGGGCACCCAGAGAGCACCCATAGCACCCATAGGGCACACAGAGAACACCCATAGCACCCGTAGGGCACCCATAGAGTACCCATAGAGCACCCACAGAGCACCCCTAGGGCACACAGAGAGCACCCATAGCACCCATAGAACACCTATAGGGCACCCATAGAACACCTATAGGGCACCCATAGAGCATCCACAGAGCATCTATAGAGCATCTGTAGAGCACAGAGACAGCATCCATAGAGCACCCATAGAGCACCTATAGAGCATCTATACAGCACCTATAGAGCACCCAGAGAGCACCCCCAGAGCTCTGGGTGGGTGCACCCGTAGAGCACCCACAGAGCACCTATAGAGCACCCACAGAGCACACAGAGAGCATCCATAGAGCACCCATAGAGCATCCATAGAGCACCCACAGCAGCCATAGAGCACTCAGACCACCCACAGAGCACCCGTAACACCCACAGCACACATAACACCCATACCAGCCACCAGCATGCGAACAGCACCCCATGAACAGCACACAAATAGGAGCCAACAGCACCCAACTGCTTGTGCTAGCACCCACCAGCACTGAACATCACCCACCAGCACTGAACATCACCCACTAGCACCCGATAGCACCCGTACATCACCCACCAGCACCCACCAGCACTGAACATCACCCACCAACACTGAACATCACCCACCAGCACCCACCAGCACTGATCATCACCCACCAGCACTGAACATCACCCACCAGCACCCATCAGCACTGAACATCACCCACCAGCACTGAACATCACCCACCAGCACCCATCAGCACTGAACATCACCCACCAGCACTGAACATCACCCACCAGCACCCACCAGCACTGAACATCACCCACCAGCACTGAACATCACCCACCAGCACTGAACATCACCCACCAGCACTGAACATCACCCACCAGCACCCACCAGCACTGAACATCACCCACCAACACTGAACATCACCCAGCAGCACCAAACATCACCCACCAGCACTGAACATCACCCAGCAGCACCAAACATCACCCACCAGCACCCAACAAGCACTGATCATCACCCACTAGCACCCAATAGCACCCGTACATCACCCACCAGCACCCACCAGCACTGAACTTCACCCACCAGCCCCCCAGCAGCACTGAACATCACCCAGCAGCACCCATAGAGGACCCCCAGCCCCACCACAGCACCCAGCAGCACCCATAGAGGAACCCCATCCCCACCACATCACCCTGCAGCACTGAACATCACCCAGCAGCACCCATAGAGGAACCCCAGCCCCACCACAGCCCCCAGCAACACCCATAGAGGACCCCCATCCCCACCACATCACCCCGCAGCACCCATAGAGGACCCCCATCCCCACCACATCACCCCGCAGCACCCATAGAGGACCCCCATCCCCCCCACATCACCCCGCAGCACCCATAGAGGACCCCCATCCCCACCACATCACCCAGCAGCACCCATAGAGGACCCCCATCCCCACCACATCACCCAGCAGCCCCCAGCAGCACTGAACATCACCCAGCAGCACCCATAGAGGACCCCCATCCCCACCACATCACCCCGCAGCACCCATAGAGGACCCCCAGCCCCACCACATCACCCCGCAGCACCCATAGAGGACCCCCAGCCCCACCACATCACCCAGCAGCACCCATAGAGGACCCCCAGCCCCACCACATCACTCCGCAGCACCCATAGAGGACCCCCATCCCCACCACATCACCCCGCAGCACCCATAGAGGACCCCCATCCCCACCACATCACCCCGCAGCACCCATAGAGGACCCCCATCCCCACCACATCACCCCGCAGCACCCATAGAGGACCCCCATCCACCACATCACCCCGCAGCACCCATAGAGGACCCCCATCCCCACCACATCACCCCGCAGCACCCATAGAGGACCCCCATCCCCACCACATCACCCCGCAGCACCCATAGAGGACCCCCATCCCCACCACATCACCCAGCAGCACCCATAGAGGACCCCCATCCCCACCACATCACCCCGCAGCACCCATAGAGGACCCCCATCCCCACCACATCACCCCGCAGCACCCATAGAGGACCCCCATCCCCACCACAGCACCCCGCAGCACCCATAGAGGACCCCCATCCCCACCACATCACCCAGCAGCACCCATAGAGGACCCCCATCCCTGCCACATCACCCTGCAGCACCCATAGAGGACCCCCATCCCCACCACATCACCCCGCAGCACCCATAGAGGACCTCCATCCCCACCACATCACCCCGCAGCACCCATAGAGGACCCCCATCCCCACCACATCACCCAGCAGCACCCATAGAGGACCCCCAGCCCCACCACATCACCTGCAGCACCCATAGAGGACCCCCAGCCCCACCACATCACCCTGCAGCACCCATAGAGGACCCCCATCCCCACCACAGCACCCAGCAGCACTGAACATCACCCAGCAGCACCCATAGAGGACCCCCATCCCCACCACATCACCCCGCAGCACCCATAGAGGACCCCCATCCCCACCACATCACCCCGCAGCACCCATAGAGGACCCCCATCCCCACCACATCACCCCGCAGCACCCATAGAGGACCCCCAGCCCCACCACATCACCCTGCAGCACCCATAGAGGACCCCCAGCCCCACCACATCACCCAGCAGCACCCATAGAGGACCCCCATCCCCACCACATCACCCCGCAGCACCCATAGAGGACCCCCATCCCCACCACATCACCCAGCAGCACCCATAGAGGACCCCCATCCCCACCACATCACCCCGCAGCACCCATAGAGGACCCCCATCCCCACCACATCACCCCGCAGCACCCATAGAGGACCCCCATCCCCACCACATCACCCCGCAGCACCCATAGAGGACCCCCATCCCCACCACATCACCCCGCAGCACCCATAGAGGACCCCCATCCCCACATCACCCAGCAGCACCCATAGAGGACCCCCAGCCCCACCACATCACCCCGCAGCACCCATAGAGGACCCCCAGCCCCACCACATCACCCCGCAGCACCCATAGAGGACCCACATCCCCACCACAGCCCCAGCAGCACTGAACATCACCCCGCAGCACCCATAGAGGACCCCCAGCCCCACCACATCACCCAGCAGCACCCATAGAGGACCCCCATCCCTGCCACATCACCCCGCAGCACCCATAGAGGACCCCCATCCCCACCACATCACCCGCAGCACCCATAGAGGACCCCCAGGTTGCTGACGGCGCCGCCTCCCCGTGCAGGCGCAACCAGAACTACGTGGACATCCTGCGCCTGCTGTCGCTGGGGGACAAGCAGCTGAGCTCCTTCGACATCTCCCTGCGCTTCACCCACCTCTTCTGGTTCGGGGACCTCAACTACCGCCTGGACATGGACGTCCAGGTGAGACCCATAACCACAACCACAACCACCACCACCCGTGCCCCCGCGCCCCGGCCGCTCACCCCCCAGCCCTCCCGCAGGAGATCCTCAACTACATCGGGCGCCGGGAGCTGGAGCCGCTGCTCCGCGTGGACCAGCTCAACCTGGAGAAGGAGAAGCACAAAGTGTTCCTGCGCTTCGGTGCGCCCCGCGCCCGCGGCCCCATGGCCCCGCGCCGGGCCCGCGCCCGCCTGACCCCAACCCCGTCCCTGCAGGGGAGGAGGAGATCACGTTCCCCCCCACGTACCGCTACGAGAGGGGCTCCAGGGACACCTACGTGTGGCACAAGCAGAAGCCAACGGGGGTGAGCGGTGATGGGGGGGGAATGGAGGGGATGGGGGCATGGTGGGGATGGGGGAATGGAGGGGATGGGGGCATGGAGGGATGGGGGCATGGAGGGGAAGGGGGAATGGAGGGGATGGGGGCATGGAGGGGATGGGGTCATGGTGGGGATGGGGGCATGGTGGGGATGGGGGAATGGTGGGGATGGGGGAATGGAGGGGATGGGGCATGGAAGGGATGGGGGCATGGAGGGGATGGGGGCATGGAGGGGATGGGGGAATAGAGGGGATGGGGGCATGGAGGGGATGGGGGCATGGAGGGGATGGGGCAATACGGGGAAAGGTCGCATGGTCGCAATGGTGGCATCCAGTGAATGGTGTGATGGTGGGGAGGGGGGAATGGAGGGGATGGGGGCATGGAGGGGATGGGGGAATGGAGGGGATGGGGGAATAGAGGGGATGGGGGCATGGAGGGGATGGGGGAATGGAGGGGATGGGGGCATGGAGGGGATGGGGTCATGGAGGGGATGTGGCATGGAGGGGATGGGGAATAGAGGGATGGGGGCATGGAGGGATGGGGGAATAGAGGGGATGGGGGCATGGAGGGGAGGGGGGAATGGAGGGGATGTGGCATGGAGGGGATGGGGGAATGGAGGGATGGGGGCATGGAATGGGGATGGGGGAATGGAGGGGGTCATGGTGGGAGGGGGCATGGAGGGGATGGGGGAATGGAGGGGATGGGGGCATGGAGGGGGTCATGGTGGGAATGGGGGCATGGAGGGGATGGGGGAATGGAGGGGAAGGGGGAATGGAGGGGATGGGGGAATGGTGGGGAGGGGGGAATGGAGGGGGTCATGGTGGGGATGGGGGCATGGTGGGGAGGGGGGCATGGAGGGGATGGGGGCATGGAGGGGATGGGGGCATGGAGGGGATGGGGGCATGGAGGGGATGGGGGCATGGAGGGGGTCATGGGGGAATGGAGGGGGTCATGGTCGGAATGGGGTCATGGAGGGGATGGGGGCATGGAGGGGATGGGGGAATGGTGGGGATGGGGGCATGGAGGGGATGGGGGCATGGAGGGGGTCATGGTGGGGATGGGGGCATGGAGGGGATGGGGGCATGGTGGGGATGGGGGCATGGAGGGGAAGGGGGAATGGAGGGGATGGGGGAATGGAGGGGATGGGGGAATGGTGGGGGTCATGGTAGAATGGGGGCATGGAGGGGGACATGGTGGGATGGGGGCATGGAGGGGATGGGGGGGATGGAGGGGATGGGGGCATGGAGGGGATGGGGGGGATGGAGGGGATGGGGGCATGGAGGGGATGGGGGAATGGTGGGAAGGGGTCACGGTTGGGTTTAGGGGGCTCATGTTGGGTTTGTGGGGCTCAGTGTGTGTATGTGGACCCCCAACCTCCCCCATTTACCCCCAGTGCTCCTCACCCCCCCCAGGTCCGTACCAACGTGCCCTCGTGGTGCGACCGCATCCTCTGGAAGTCCTACCCCGAGACCCACATCAACTGCAACGCCTATGGTGAGCAGTGGGAGCCTCGGACACCACGGGCACCCTGACCCCCCCACGGGCACCCTGACCCCCCCACGGGCACCCTGACCCCCCCATGGGCACCCTGACCCCCCATGGGCACCCTGACCCCCCATGGGCACCCTGACCCCCCCATGGGCACCCTGACCCCCCCCCATGGGCACCCTGACCCCCCCATGGGCACCCTGACCCCCCCCATGGGCACCCTGACCCCCCCATGGGCACCCTGACCCCCCCATGGGCACCCCAAAACCCTGACCCCCCATGGGCACCCCAACACCCTGACCCCCCATGGGCACCCCAACACCGTGACCCCCCCCATGGGCACCCTGACCCCCCCCATGGGCACCCTGACCCCCCATGGGCACCCTGACACCCCCCATGGGCACCCCCCCCCATGGGCACCCTGACCCCCCCATGGGGACCCTGACCCCCCCATGGGCACCCACCCCCCCATGGGCACCCTGACCCCCCATGGGGCACCCTGACACCCCCCATGGGCACACCCCCCCCCCATGGGCACCCTGACCCCCCCCATGGGCACCCTGACCCCCCCATGGGCACCCTGACCCTGACCCCCCACATGGGCACCCTGACCCCCCATGGGCACCCTGACCCCCCCATGGGCACCCTGACCCCCCATGGGCCCCTGACCCCCCATGGGCACCCCCACAGCGTGCCCCCCGACTGGTCTCCCCAACACCCTGACCCCCCCATGGGCACCCCAAACCCTGACCCCCCCCCATGGGCACCCTGACCCCCATGGGCACCCTGACCATGGGCACCCTGACCCCCCCATGGGGCACCCCCTGCCATGGGCACCCTGACCCCCCATGGGCACCCTGACCCCCCATGGGCACCCTGACCCCCCATGGGCACCCTGACCCCCACCATGGGCACCCTGACCCGCCATGGGCACCCTGACCCCCCATGGGCACCCTGACCCCCCATGGGCACCCTGGGGGCACCCTGACCCCCCCATGGGCACCCTGACCCGCCCATGGGCACCCTGACCCCCCCATGGGACCCCCCCATGGGCAC